CGGCGGCGGCGGCAAAGCTCGGCTCTGCTCTGCTAGGGCGAGAGAGGGATAGGAAGAGAGGCGCGGAGCCCATAGGTAATAAAGGCTCGGCGCCAGGATCTACGGCACGACAAATCTTGCACTTTGCACGCAAAGTGATGTAGTACCAAGTAGCAGTTGAAATTCCTGACTTTGCTGCACACAGGCGCGCATCGATCGATCGATCGATGGAGTATCGGAATAGTCATGTACGCACACGAGCTCGAGAACAACAATTACTTACTGCTTGGAATATAATGGTGGATCGTCGATTGGTGCATGCATGCTCATGGATCTAGCTCAGGCGATCGATTGAAAGAAATTACTAGTAAACACTACTACGTGGCCATGCATTCCAACAATGCAAGGCGAAGTGATGATGATATATGATTAGGTGAGCGGCACCTCTCCCTTCCAGTTCCCCGGCGGGTCGTAGGAGCAGGTGATGAAGACGCCGCCGGCGAAGCACTCGGAGCGTCCGCATCCGACGAACTCGGTGTCGTTCCAGACGAGCTGCGTGAAGTGGCCGCAGACCTCGCCCGGGTAGCACGCCTGCGCGCGCCAGTCGAAGTAGGAGGACTCGGTGGCCCAGCTTCTGACGGCGTCGGCGGGGCGCCAGTCGCTGCCGGTGCCCCAGAAGACGTTCTCCCCGTAGGGCGAGTTGGGCGAGTGCATCATCACGCAGTCGAAGCGCCGCAGCGACGACCACCGCCGCGCGTACCTCGCCAGCTTGCTGCTCCAGCGCAGCGGCGGCACGCCGTACTTGGCGCGCAGCTCGTTGTGCGCCTGCAGGAACTCGTGCGCCACCAGCGGGCCGTCGGCCGGCACGTGGTGATCGTAGTGCTGTTGCTGATCCTGCTGCTCGCGGTGCTGTTGCCGCCGGAGGAGAAGGAGGGGATGAGGTCGTCGTGCAGCGACGACAGCGGGTGGGCGGAGGCGGTGAGCATCACCGTCAGAGCCGAGCATACCAGGGCCACGACGTCGACGGCGAGGAGGACAAGCCCCGGCCCCGCCATGAATTCAATCCGTTGCTCGCTTTGCTCGGGTCCGTCCGTCGTTCGTCGTTGGGACGAGATCGTCGATCGAGACCTTGGCTTGCTTTTGCATGCATGCACGAGGAGACCTCCTAGTCGTATGGCTGCCCGGCGGCCAAGACGAGCGACCAGGCGACCATGCAGCATGCACGGTTGTGGGCCCTCCAGATGGGAGGCTGCATTTGTTATTGCTATTCTACTTTGACCAGGTCAACGACAGCAGAGGCTGCACTGCAAATAGCTACTCTACTCGCTCCGTCTCATGAAAGAAATCAACTGCTCGATCGCACCATCGTATGTTTCATTAAGTTTATATGAACACTTTAGTATCTATATCTGACTAGTAATAAATATAATTGTTATATTCATCGTATATGATATTTTCATACCAAGTATTTTATATAAGTAGTATAAATATTAATTGGCACTAGAATTTTCTATAAATATAATTAAATCTGTAACATGATTTTACTTATTACTCTAAATCTGAAATTGCATTTTATAGCAAGAAAAGGTAGTATCTACTAGTAGCACCGGTACTATTGAATTGGTTGTCCTGCGCATGCAGTTACTATTGTTAACATATACAGGAGATGATCCAAATCATACACCAGCAGGGCTAGAACGTCCAAGGAGTTACAAATCAACCCGCAACCAGCAAGGAACACAAGCAAACCCACGATAGAAATATGACAGCGGAGTCCATTATACATTTTGGCAGCTTGTTCGTCAACAACTTTTGTTCTGTGGCCTATGGTTTTCAAGGAAATAAACTCTGAAAAGTTGAAGTGAGACGTGCGTTTATTTATAATAATGTGTGCGCACCTACCTTATTGCCTAAGCGGCAGCAGTAGCCAGAGCCAGCAGGCAAAGGGATGGGAGGCGTGTCGGAATCAGTGCTGCTAGCTAGCGGCATGGCAATCCATTAATAAATAAAGAAGAACAATATTCAATACAAACCATATTTTAAGTGCAATCCTGAAAACTCATTGAAAAGCATAACTAGAAGTTTTTAGAGAGAGAAAAAAGGAAAGTCTAGATGGAGTTTGGATCTCAAATTTTCTGATAATGGAATTTTATAGATGCACTATGGGGGTGTACAGTTTCAGAAAACAAGGTAAGGTACTGTGTACTAGCGGCCTCTTTCTGAGATCCATCCAGAGGCTAAAATTTGGCCGCTCGCCGACATGGCAGCTGCATGTCCAGGATGGCACTCGAGAGGGGCAGATCGCGGCGCTCGCCGGCGTCGTGCCCAGCCTTGTCCGTGCGGCCCGCGCTCGATCGCCGCGCCTCGCAGCCCCGGCCGCCGTCGCTCGCTCGGCTTCGAATTCACACGAGGTTCTTTTCACACTTTGGATTTTGAATTTTATTATACTCACTCGCCATGCCTTACACCAGCAAGATTAGTTACAGTGACTCCTCTTCAACCAGTATCGCCGGCGACCATGGTGACTCCAGATAAGGAGAAGACGTACATGCATGTGAGTATATTTACTAGCTTCGAGTAGTAGCATGGAAGTCGTATGATAAGGAGAAATATTTTATTTAGTATTTGCTTTGTACTGTTTTTTAAATTCAGTCTACGAAATATTTCTTAATGCGCAAAATCTCGTAAATATTTCTTTGTGCAGTTTCTCGTAAATATTATTACTGAAAATTCTCGTAAATGTTTCTTGGTGTAAATTCTCGTAAAAAATATTATTAGTACAGAATATTTCGTAGTGCAGATTCTCGTAAATATTATTAGTGAAAATGTTGTAAATGTTTCTTTGTGCCAATTGTGGTAAATTTTCTTGATATGAACTGCTGTAATCATAGTGGAAATTTTTTAATTACTATGGTATATACTATGTGTACATAAGAATCTATCGACGGTGTTGGGATAATTTGTGCTGTATGACCAGTAAATGTTCAGTGTGATCATAAAGTTGTTGTCTGTGAAATAGGAACCCTTGTTACCTGAAGCAATGGTGCCAAACGATGAGTTGCGTTTCAACAGTAGTGATGAAGCTAAGGAGTTTTACTACAAATATGCGAGCAAAGCAGGATTCGACGTTAGCATAACCAGGAGCCATAAAACTGTTATTGAGTTGAACTGCAATAAACAAGGGCACTGGGATTTCTACAAGCCCGGGGAGGACAGAGTCAGAGAGAAAATGTCAATGAGGTGTGGATGCATGGCATTTGTGAAGGTTAAATGGAACATTAAGAAGGGGTATTGGTTTTTTGAGAGGATACAGTTGGAACACTCTCACCCCCTGCGCCCGTCGCCAAGCTTAACACAATACATGAAGGCGCACAAGGAGAAGGACCCAACGATCATGGAGATTGTTGATCAGATGCAGAGGTGTGATGTACCCCTCAATGCAACCATTAATGTGTCGTCAGACATATATGGTGGTTGGCAAAACTTCACATTCACAGAGATGGACTTGAAAAATAGGTAATGTAGATAGTACAGTACTTTCACAGCATCTCATCTCATTTGGTAATTTATCTGTTTAAATGGATTTGTTTGATGTTGTGATTTCAGGATAGCTGCAGCTGCCAAGGCGGAGAGGGAAAACGATATTCCCAAGCTGCTAGAGTTCTTTTCGGAGATGAAGGCTCAGAATGAATATTTCTACTATGAGGTGCAGGTGGACAACGAAAACATTGTAAAGAATGTTTTTTGGAGTCATGCAAGCCAACGTGCAGAGTATAGAGATTTTGGAGATGTTGTCGTATTTGACACCACATACAAAACTAATATGTATAACATGCCTGTGGCTATGTTTGTCGGTTCAAACCATCACCTACAAAATGTCATGTTTGGGCAGGCACTTTTGCAGGATGAGCAAGCTGACACGTTTGAGTGGTTGTTTAAATCATTCCAAAAGTGCATGACCGGGAGTCGTGATCCAAGATGTATACTCACAGGTTAGAAAACAAAATTTTCTTAAATATTTCTCAAAGATAGGATACAAAATTCTAGTAAATGTTTGTTATTGCAATTTCTCGTAAATGTTTCTTGGTTCCAAATTATCGTAAATATTTCTTAGTGCAAATTCTCGTAAATATGTCTTGGTGCTAATTCTCGTAAATACTTCTTAGTGGAAATTCTCGTAAATATGTCTTAAAAATGTTTTGACTTCTCGTAAATTCTCATGATTATATCTCGTAGATGTATGCTATGATTTTTAACTTCATGTTTTGTGGTACAGATCAGGATCCGGCCATGGCTTTAGCCATCAGTAGGGTGTTTAAAAAAACTCAACAGCAGGTTGTGTCGTTGGCACATGCTGAATAAGTATTGTATTAATTATTATATGTATAGTAGTCACAGGTTGTATGTTTGCTGGCTTTTCTTGAATAGAATGATGAGGCATGTAGTAAACCGTATCATTGATGTCCCTAAGCTGCACACACAAAATGGAAATAGGTAAGTGGCAGTAAATAGGCATTGACACAGAGGACTGCGTTTTAAAACGGGGGACAATAGTTACTGTGTCTCACCGGTAATCGCCCAAATGTGACCTTTCCTTGGTCGTCCTTTGTCTTGTCAGCAGCAATTATTTGTTTAATCAAATCTTGATTAAAGTACTTGGCACGGGGAATATCCTTATGATTGATCTGGTGGTTGCAGCGTAAGTTATCCAAATAAACTATCTACACCGAGAAAAATAGAAATATGGGAGAATAAGTTTACTATAATACATGTGGGTACCTAATCAGCTATCATAATATTTGAAGGCATATTATGTATGATAAATGGGAAACTGACCAACAGAAAAATCGTGCATCCTGTAATTGAAGGCGAAACTTTTGTTGTTCTATCAAGTCGCCACGTGCGTGCAGCATCTCGGATTTCATCAGTAACAGCCTTGCACCAGTTCATAGTGGGTAGTCGAGACAAATTCCTAGCCAAATAAACATCTTTCGCCCTGATGTTGTTGTTAGGGGAAGGAATTACAACAGCTTGTTAGAAGCGATCATGAAGAAAATTTTAATGCACATGTCGTCGTCAAGCATCCTAGAGTCTAACTCAATGTCGGCCTCGTCCCAGATCTCTTGCAGATACTTGGTGTGCACATCCTCATCTTCTTGTAAACCAATAAAATCCTTGAAAGCAGACAGGGCCTTGCATGCTTCCTGGTTTGTGTGTAGAGATAATTCTTCGCCACCGTCTGGAATGCCAAATGCTTGCTTAACAGCAAAAGGGTTGATATGTATAACCCTATCTTTACTAAAAACCAATACCATAGTATCAGGGTCTAGCCTGTCATACAAATACTTCAACATTTCTCTGCTAACTAGCTTGTCTGTTCGGATCTGGAGGAGGCCACCAAAATTTATATTATTGATTCTGGTACGCTGGCTCATGGTGAGGACATCAATAAATGAGTTGAAAATTGAAGGTGCACATCGAACAGTTGGTGCATGAAGATATTTGGTAACCTTTTGCTGTTTAGGCTGTAGAAAGGAGACATAGGACTTGTGTAATTGTTCAAAATAAGTGCTAATTAATAAGGATGAGTGAAAAGAAGGAACCATTATGGTAAGAATGTAATCGGATACTGTTTGGAAAAAAGTACATCCGTATGAACAAAATGGCAAAAAATTATAGTACACAGAACAAACAAAAATTAATAATTTAGTCGCAACAGTATACCTTCATAGGTGGATCCATGCGAGGGGCATTTTTCTTCTGCAGTTTTCCATCTCTGCGTGCATTGATAACAACATTTGTAGTACGGCGTTGATTATTGTTCGTTACCGGGTGCCTAGTTAGGGGTTGATATATATATATATATATATATATATATATAACTGGCTACAGAATATGATATTTTGTAGCTGGGTCGCTGTGTCGCGCCGGGCTGATCCGGTCCGACAACATGCTGTCCCGGCGCCTTGATCCTCACTCACCGCTCCCCTCGATCATCATTAATGAATCCTCATTCACCGCTCCAGCTGGTGCCTGCCGCTGACGCTGCCCTCTTCGTCGCGCCTCGCGCCTCTTCCTCCGCACCCGTGTCTCGCCCCCCGCTCCTGCCGCCCTTCCCCTCGCCCCCGCACCAGGCTGCCATTGAAGACACTGATCGAATTTGCCGACGCCCTTCATCCTGCTACAATCCGAGATCACCGCGCAAGAATATGATTTGGCTGCTTCTCCGTATCAATGCCGGATTGATCCAGAAACGAAGGAATATCCCCCAAATTTCGTTGCAGCTTCCTCTATACTTCAGCCCCCTACCACGGCATCCTGATTAGCGCAGTCCCCTGCTCTTCTTGGCTACTGGAGAGGCCCCAATCGTCCATCGGAAGTGGCTGCTGCAGAGGCCCCAAACATCCACGCCGGGAAGCTGCCTGCTCGTTTCTCTGCTGTCTGCTGGGAAGCTGCCTGCTCGTCTCTACTCTACAGATCCACATCAGGGTAGCAGAGAGGCTATGGAGGTGATTTATCTTATCCATGTGTCAATTTTACACTGTACATGCTTGGTTCACTTATGCCCACTACAACTTTTGTTTCCGTGAACAATTGTTTATTTTCCTTTTCTGTTTGCCTTCGCAGTCCCTGTTTACCGATGCACATTGTTGGTCTGAGTAGGCATCTCAAACCGAGCTGCATAAGTTTACATGATTCTTGTGATTTTAATTAGTAATTGATGTTCATGCTTTCAACCGAAATTGTGCAGATCATTCTAGCTAGTTTAAGTAGTAATTGATGTTCCTGTTTATGGTAAATTTAATCATTCTAACTAAATTTTACCGTTAATTTTAGTACCTATATTCACTGTCCACGTGTCTCGTAAATATACTGTAAGTTTTCGTAACTATTCTCAGTGCAAAATATTTCTCGTAAATATTACTGTAAATATGTATTGACATTATCATAAATTAGTATATAAAATTATCGTAAATAGAGGTGGCTACAGAATAACTTATTTTTGTAGCTGGCTACTGAATATACTCTTCATATATATATATATATATATATATATATATATATATATATATATATATATATATATATATATATATATATATATATATATATATATATATATATATCACACACACACACACACACTTCGCTTTAGTTGAACCCAGTTTTCTAACTTTAATCACGCACGTTTTTAGAAAAGAAAGTTTTTAGCAGCATCTACAGGTTTTGTTAGTAAATAAATAAAATACATTCTGAATTGATATATTTCATCACGATATATAAATTTCACTATCAGTTAATTGCAGTTCGCGCAAGCTGTTGTTTTGTTGGAAACTACGTAGTGTGCATCGGATTCAGCAGGGTAGCTGCTTGTACGTTGTCCGGTACGTTACGGGATGGATGGTGCGTGTCTGACTTTTGCATTGCATGCATGCCAGTTGCCAGGCAGCAAGGAATGCAAATGCAAGAGACTTGTTGCACTGATTCACGCGCAGCTTTTTATTTGTGCTATATAAGCAAAGCCAAATTAAAGCTGGTTCTTTTATTATCCGAATATATACCGTACGCCATCGATTCAAAGGGAACCGATAAAGAGCAAAGAGCAAAGAGCAAAGAGCATGCAATGCAAAGCCAACTAGCAGCTGTAAAGTGGCCGGCGACGACGACGACGAGCGAGTTGCTGCATGCATGCTGCTAGCTAGCTGCAACCTCTCTCCATCGACCCATGCATGTCCATGTCATGTCATAGATAGCAGATGACGATGCCCTCGCGCAACAGCACGCACGAGCACGACCAATTGATGAAAAAGTACTACGTACTACCTCTGTCCGGCGATGCTAGCTTAGCTTTATGTAGGGGCCGGGTGATGTACGTTTTGGTTTTCTAAGTCAAAATGTTTTATATCTGACTAATTCAATTTATAGAATAGATTATAAGCATTTAGGTAATGATTTTTATAACACTAAATATATTTTTTTCGAGAAAAAGAGAGGCTATAATATTACTACCTCCGTTTTCGTTTACTTGTCACCAAATTTTTACTGTAGCAATTTTGATCATACGTTTTTTTCTGCAAAAGATTTTTAGATACATCAAGTTTTCACATATATGATTCTTTATTGAACATACTTCATTAGTGTTATATACATTGAAGTATCTAAGATTTTTTTAGAAGAAAAAATAGATGGTCAAATTTGCTACAGTAAAAAGTTGCTGACAAGTAAACACAAACGGAGGGAAGTACTCAGGATCAGTACAATCTTGAGCAATAATTTGCTCAATACAAACTGCCACCCTATTTGATCTAATTAAGCGCCAACTGCGCGAGCTCATGGGCAGCACAATTTCCCTCTCTTCTCGTGTGGACTATTTTTCATTTAGAAATATGGCTCGAAACCTGTTTAGCCTCCTCTATTATGAACCGTAATGGTCCACGATCTCTTTCCCGCGACTTGATCATAGCACAGACCATAATTTTATAACACTAAATATATTTGCCACAAAAATATATTGCATGATAAATTTAATTTGGTGGTATTTATTTGGTATAATAAATATTGGTGTTCTCTTGTTAACTCATATAGTCTAACTTAGATTGTTTTGTTATTTAAGATAAAACTAGAATGTCATGTCATTTTTTTTTTGTGAATCACGATAGAGACATTCGTATATGCATTCGCACACTACTAGCACTCTCTTGCGTGACGGGAGGGAGGTTTTCTTGTTTTGCGGCCTGTCGTGGCGTCAGCCGTCCCCGTCAACCAATTCAATGAACATGCTTACATGCATGCATATAAGGATACATATACATCACGCAATTACAGACAACACACCTATCGTACGTTTATATATAGCTAGTAAAAATGTGCTTTGCTAGCTGGCTTCTTCTTGTTGCATGCATGCATGCATAACACGGCCAGGCCGGCGAGAGAAAGAAGAGAGAGCCATCGATCGATCGGGACAGCGATGTAGTAGTATCATGTACTCCTTCCTATGTGCTTATTAGCTAGCGCGACGCGGAGAGGACGTGCAGTAGTGTAGTGCTCTCTCTGCTTTGCTTCGCTTTTTTTTTTTTTTTTTTTGCTTTTGCTTGCTGATCCATCATATCATCAGTCTCGGATGATTATGATATGATAGAGGCCTCTCACTCGTGTGCCATGCCATGCATGCATCGTCCCTCCTCTTTATATTTACCCCTCTCCAATCCATCCACCGCCTCCTCTTTATATTTACCCCTCTCCAATCCATTCACCGCTTACATACTACTACCATAGCACTATAGATGCATCATGCACATGCATGGTTGACCTCCCACCGCAGCGTATCATATGTATTCTAGTACACTCCGTCCGAAAATAAATATATTTCTCATTTCACGAGCGGATCTCATTTCACAAGCAGTCAAACATTTTCAAGTTTGACTGAAAGTATAGAAAATAGTATTAACATTTGTAACTCCAAATGAGCATATTATAAAAGTATATTCTATGCTCAATCAAATACTACTTAATATACATCATAGATATTGGTATATTTTTGTATATATTTGGTCAAACTTTAAGAAGTTTGACTCTTAGAAAACGAGATGTGCATTTTATCTTGGGACAGATGTCTACATCCCGCGGCAGAGGTCAATCAAAGTCGTCGCGCATCACACTAAATTACTTATATATAGCTCGTGACTAAGAGAAATGATTAAAGTCTAAAATATGTAATTATGAAGACTTATTAATTCATATTGTTACAATGTTACTATGAGCAGACACTATTGCAGACACACCTAGCGCATCACTACCAGAATTGGATCCGGCAGAGAGCAACCGCAGTGATGGGACATGCCTACCACTGCTGCTTCCTAACCCGGCAGTGACAACTGACAAGATGATATCACTGTCAGATCAAGGCTACAATCGATCGGTCACAGTTGGGTCAAGGCTAGAACCAGCAATATTAGCATTAGGATCGCTACTTGGTCAAACCTATACATAGTGTGGGGATCACTATTGGTTCAGTGGCTTCAACCGGCAACAACCTTCATTTTTTTTCTATTCTTCTTATATAGTACTTTGTTATTACACTTAAATAGAGACTTCTACATACTATCTTACATTTGATATTATTAATGCGCATCATGTATATCTCACTACCATCACATTTCTCAGAAGATTCGATAATGAATACATCTAGGTAGAAAACCATAAAGACATTTTTAGTAGGTAGAGATGGAGTCATTACAAACCAAAGTCTCATTACCATAACAAAAGTGGATCACACCCACTATTACTGGTTATTACATACCATGACATAGTTCGTGTAGTGGGCATCTCTAATTGTGCAGAGGAGTATATTGTTTAAGTACATCAATGCATGAATTAGTGCGGAGCACATGTTCTACCAAATAAAGATGGAACAATTGAATCCATTGTAAATGGGTTGGGATCCAAAGCAAAATGCAAATGACCCTACTGTAAGGAAAATGGACCCTAGGCCCATTTACTTTGGATTTTGGTGTTTGATGACCAACACAACTAAATTGGACTAATGAATTTGTAAGTGATTGTTTTGTAATTCAATAGGGTGCAAGACGTGACTTGGACGAAGACGACATGATGATCCGATGATCAACACCTTAAGCAGATCCTAGAAACACAAGAGAGGATCCAAGATATCAAGCAAAGTCCAAGCACGAAGATAGGAAGTCAGGAACCAAGCCGGACGCAAGATCGCGAAAAAACGAGCTTCACAAAGGTGACCGGACACGGCCCTTATAGCGACCGGACGCGTCCGATCAAGATTCTCGGCAACAGCAGGCGTCAGCAGCAGCGGCCGAACGCTGAGGACTAAAAGTGACCGGACGCAACGATGGCGCTATTCATCATCTCGGCAACACATTCAGCACTGACCGGACGCTGGCAGATAATCGATCGGACGCAGGAACTATAGCGTCCGATCGAGTCCAGAGAGGTTCCAGAGCGGCGACAGCGTGACCGGACTCGGCAGTGCGTCCGATCAACGCGTGCGCTACAATGGTCGGGTCGACCGGACGCGTCCGGTTAAGACGACAGCAGCATCCGGTCAGTAGCAGAAAGGAGGGTTTCATCCCCAACGGCTACTTTCTCAGTGGGGCTTATAAATAGACCCCCCAACCGGCCATTTGAGTAGAGTGGAGCTGAGG